GGCATATTAGGTTAAGGTTCATGGCATGTGTAATCTAAATGAGTTCAGATCATTAAATTGAGCTTCGTTGAGCTTGTGTTTGAAAGGTATCGTGGAAAATTTGGTCCTTTTGTTGTCCATGTGATTGAAATAAAGTTGGAAAATTATGCACCCAATAGAGAATTGTCAGTGTGTATCAAGTTAACATTGGAAACGGTGATAGTGAATTCAATTTTTGTTAAACTTCATCCATAGCATACAAGAGTAAAATTGTCTCTTACCACAATTAGCTTCAAGACCGAGCATTCCTCGGGCCATGGTATCTGAAAAATAGGAATTTCACTGCATTCTAATTTTTTTCTTGAGGGCACTCACAATTTAAATGTCACCAAATAAGTTTCCTCGAGGGCCGTACACTACCACAATTACAAACCTACCTTTGGAACTTTTCAACCATCTTGATTCTGAAACACGTGTTTAATCCTAATTTTTTTTACTTCATGTTAGAAGTTATGTTTGCCCCACATTGACTAGTTATTGGGCTCTTTTTGTGTTTATTAGTGTGGGATGGATGCCCTATCCCTTTGAGCTAGCTTTTGGGGATGAGTTCTAAACAGGCCCATTTATCATGGTATTCAAAGCACCCAAATTTGTTTGTTTGGAGGTGATGTTGGGTTTGGACCCAACCGACTTGGTTTGACACGCTGAGCGTGAGTGCGAGTGTTAGAAGTTATATTTGTCCCACAAGTGTTAGAAATTATATTTGTCTCACATCGATTAGTTATTGTCTCTTATTGTGTATAGGTGTAAGTTGGAGAACAATTCCTTTTGACCTAGCTTTTGGCTTCTGGGGATGAGTTCTACCTAGGCCCATTTATTGAAAAACCAGTTACTGTGTCAATATTGGTTGTTTCTCTTGCCTTAAAAAGTGAAACTGACAATGTAACGAGAAAAGCTTCATGCTTCGTACGACATCACATGTTTTTGCAAATGCAGGTATAAATTGCAAATTCTCCAAGTCTAAGCAAGTGCAAGCATTGACTGCAATATCCCATTGATAAGAGATCCTTCTAGTTTAGGACAAATTTATAGAAAAAAGCTAGGCTGTAGGAAGCTGCAGATATTTTTGCGTTTCTTTCTGGCTGTAGATGTTCATTCTTGGTCCGGATGCAATTATTTTGCTTTTAGCTTGTTATTGAGATTTGACCCTTCTCCGTAGCTATTTTTCAGTAATCGTTTGGTATCCTTTTCCCCTGTACTTGTTAGGTATACTCCAATGGATTATAATGACAATGACTATGAAGGCCACAATCTTCACTTAGCTGGTGAAGAGAGCTCTAAAACTTCTTCTGTTCTGCAACCGTTTGCTCTACCTAAATTTGATTTTGATGACAGTCTCCAGGGGCATATGAGATTTGATAGTTTAGTTGAAAACGAAGTTTTTCTTGGTATTTCAAGTCAGGAAGACAATCAGTGGATTGGGGATTTTTCTAGGGAAGGCAGTGGAATAGAGTTTAGCTCCAGTGCAACACAATCTTGTGCTTTGCCAAGGCACATCAATGTCTGGTCTGAGGCAACATCTTCTGAATCTGTTGAAATGTTATTGAAGGCAGTTGGGCAGGAAGAAATGGTGCGAGGTGAAAGGTTAATGGAAGAGCCAGAGCCAGGTGACCAGCTTGGTAGCCCAACAAGACAAATGGATGATGTGGGGCATGATAACAAAACTGATGATGTTAAACGCTTAAAAAATTCTTCAATATCACCTGCTGAAGTTGAGGGGAATACTTCTAGGTCATGTGAGAGTGACAAAGTAGATGTTCAGACTGAGGTTTCTGTACCTGTTGGGGTAACAAATATTTCTTCTTATGGAGTGCCTGGTGATGGCAATGATAGAATTCGCCCCGCGAACTCTGAAAATCCGGTAGTTAACTTGAAGATGGGCAGTGATAATCAAGATGAAACTTTCGATTTGGTGAATGAATCTATGTCCACTAATACGCAACAAGAAACTGTCTCTGTTCTTCACATTGAGAAAGGAATTGACAAAACTGATAATTCAACTCAGAATGTTGCTACTAGTGGGAAGGAGTCTGATGACCAGGATAACATTACTGATGTCTGTTTTGTAAGTTCAAATGATGTAGCAAAAGTTATATCTCTTTCACGTGAGCAACAGGAGAAAGGATGCAACCAAAATGAAGGGAATTTGGGTGCTGGAACTGATTTAACTGAGTACGAAGCTTCCCACAAGATCCCTTCACCAATGGAATCCTCAAAAGAAGAGCCCTCAGTTCAAATTTGTGATGCTAATATTGCTGAAGCGTGTGGTGTGGCTAAAAAAAATGAATCTATGCCCACAGAAGACAGGTGCAATGAGGTTGGATTTCTTGTTGCAGGTGATAGTCTACATCGAACAGTGGTCTTCGCTTCAAGCTCAGAAATTAAGAAGCAGCGTGAAGGCTATGGCATAGTTCATGAGGAGTCATCTATGTCCCTTCAGGGAGAAACTGTTGAGCTGCTAGAAGTGCAAGGCAGCGATGCTGTCATGTCTACAGTCTCTGGAGATACTGATCCCAATCACTTTCCTGCTATCCAACCACCTGATCACAATGCGATTCTTGGTGGTACTAAGGATACTCAACCTGGAACTGACAGCTCTGCAGAGGCTCCACTTGTTACTTCTGTGGTGATTGGTAATCCTTCTGATAAGATTGGTGAAAGTAATCATAAGGATGATCCAGGTCATCCTGTAGATCACACCTTTGAGGGTGGTTTTTGTGGAGAAAAATCAATCAATGATGATGTGAATGTTGCTGGAGATACTGCTGTATCACAAGAGAATTTGGACGATCGGGTGGATCATTCTTCCCCTCCTCTGTTAGCTGGGAGCGTGAAGACAGGTACAGAAGATACTATCCCCATGCAGTTAGATCCCCATGAAAACGACCTGGATTTTCCAGTCTATGAAACAGACATCAAGAAGTTGCCTCTTGATTCAGGTGATGTGGCCTGTGATGGAAATGAAAAAGAAGTTTCCATTTTTTCTGGTGTAGAAGGAACTAAAGCTGATACAAGTACTGGATCACAACCCAACACTTCCTCTGGGGCTTGTCCGGGTACTGCTGGTCTTGTACTCTATTATTTATCTTGTTTTAAGATTTTATGTGATGATGTTTGGAAGTCATCCAATTCTCCTTTGAATGCGTTGTTTAATTTCTACTGTATGTTATTTTGCATTGCAGCATTGAACACTGAGGCTGAAGATGCAAAGTCGACATCATTGTTTGCTGAAGGCAATGAGTTAGTTGACAGCGACAAACATAATTCACCTTCATATGACACGATGTTGAGGGATCAGAGTAAAGAAACTCAATCTGAAGCTCTTAAACGACCAACTATTCCTGTTTCAACAGAATCCCTTTCGTCAAGTGAGCTTAACACTGCTTTGGAAACTGAGAAGGGTGCACTGCCTGAATCTGAAACAGGAGAAGCACAGAAAAGTGGTCAGTGTCTTCCATTGGCCCAGCCTTCTGGTGTTCCCATGCTTGCTGAAGGCCATAAGGAGTCAAATGAGCTTACATCTGTTTTTGAAACTGACAAGGGTACACCAGTTGATGTTGAAACAAGAGAAATAAGGAAAAGTGATCAATCTCCCGTTTTGGTAGAGCCTTCTAAGACCATATCTGATGAATACCGAAAGGAGTTACCTGAAAAGATTGGAAATGCTTCCAGTGACTTGACAGTGCAAGATGTTGGTGTTGTTGCTGCACCTACTGAAATGGCAATAGGACAAGAAGGAAGAAATGCTGGAGAATATCCTTCAATAGTGTCAGGTGAATAATCTCTTATCTTTAGACACGATTTAGCCTTTCAGTGAAATATTCTTACAGGTTGCAAACTTGATACACTGTTCTTTTAGTCGATCATATCTTTATACTGTTTGAGTTGCTGCATAGGTCACCATCATACAAGCCAGAGGCTTCTGTTTCCATTGGAAAAAAAATTTCTGTGGGCTTGTTTTGCCAATTACTCTATTTGGAATAGTATGGCGTATGTCCCCATATTGGGGAGTCAAAGTTATTGTGGTGTCAATTAGTCACGATCTTCTACAACGAATGCCGTCCAAATTGTGCAAACCGCGGCTTTTGGCTTCCCTTCAACCCCCCTCTTTCTAATTCAGGAAACCGAGTTGTAAACCTAACCAGTACTTTTATTCTCATTGCCGTTGCTCACCCCTAAACCGTCAAAACATGCACCTCATAAGTTTTAGGAATGGGAAATTTCAAAAAACTTAGGGTACAACTTTTATGCTAGCTAATTTTTATAAATAAAAAAGGAATTAGGATTTTTTTTTTCTGCTGCGGGCCTTTTTTTTCTCATAACTATACCAGGGTGCTGTAAGATGAGTGCTGAATCCAACAAAATTGAGAGAAAGAAAAAGTTGGTTCATATCGCAAAATAATCTTTACATTCTTTTGCGACCTCAGACTGTGCTCAGTTAACCCAACTATTGGGCAAGCTTGACTCAGGTATAGTTTGCATTAGAATTTGTTATCATGTACAGTGATGCTGCTGGAAAGGGGAATAAATAACAACCTGAAATATTAGATTAAATCATTAAAGTACATACGAAATTGCAGTTTTGATTTTATGCCAAAGCTGACTGAATTTCTTAATAATTGAAAATTAAACGTCCACTTTTAGTGTCTAATAGTATGTAACTTCAAGTTGACATTTCCAGGCCAGTTACTCGTAAAGCATGTCTACAATTTCCTACTTTGCTCATCTGCAGATACACTGAGGGAAGTTATACCTCCATTCTCCATAGATGTTTACTGGTCACTTTCTTTCATTTGTAAACCTTTAAAAGGTGGAACATTATTTAAATCTGATGAGATCATATGGACGTTATTTTAATCCGATGAGCTGATATGAGGGAGGGACTTAACCAGAGTTGCAGAATACTTGTTCCTTGTGACATAGATTTTGAAAGGAATAAGGCCTGTATAAGAAGTCACAATTATCTTGTGGCAGAATAATTTGGACCGAGTTAATATGTGGGATCTGAAATTGAGTTGTCTGTCTTTCCTCATGACCCCATATTGACTGCATTACGTCTTGTCTAAATTGATCTGTGATATTCTTCAAAGCAACTTTTAGCTTCTGCAGCTTCAATGGTTTCCATTTGCAAGCTCGTTTTAATTTGCTTTATGTCTCATTTAGTCCTAACAACTTAAGCTCTGCAGTTGACGTGGTTGCCGTTACCAGCTGTACTATGGAAATGGATAAGTCCGACCAGGTTGCTCCATCTGACGTTATATGTAATGATCTTCCAGAAAGCGTGATAGACAATCAGTCATCTCTTAGGAGAGATGATGTTGAAAATATTTGCAAAGTTGTAACAAATGCAGAGAACTCTGTAGTAAATGTTCCATCTGAAGAAGAAGGAACCTTTACTTTTGACGTAAGGCCGTTGGGGGATCAGTCGTCTGGAGGTTCTTGCAATGGTTCCCAATCATTTCCCAAAATTCAAGCTTGTAAACTGGCTATGGTACTCCTTACTCACAGCCATGTTCTAAATATTTTTTTTCTACTTCGTATTATGGCATTTGTTTTGACTAAGTTTAAACTTCTTGCTATATATTTCCACTGAAGACTGCTGGAGTATCAACCTCAACATCTGGTAGCAACCTTCCAGATCCAATTGCAGTGAAGGAAGTTTCTCATGTTAGTTCTTTAACACCTCCATCTGAACCTCTCAGTGGTCCCTCTGGGCGTAAAACTAGACGTGCTAGTAGTAAACCTCGGAAGGCGAGTGCAAATAAGGGAAATCAGGTGAAAGAAACGACTTCGCTGAGGCAGCCTGAGAAGTTGGAGAAGTCATCCCTTTTTTTGAGTCCATTAGTTGGTAGTCAACCGGTGTCCTTTGAAAGCGTTGTCAAGCCAAGGGGACCTGTTCCTATTCCTACATCCAGCTTGCCTGATCTTAATACTTCGGCTGCATCGTCTGTATTCTTTCAGCAGCCTTTCACAGATTTACAGCAAGTGCAACTGCGAGCACAAATCTTTGTTTATGGATCTCTTATGTGAGTTTGATCGTTCTCTTCTACTGTAGCACACTGCAAGATATATTAACCAGTGGTTGATTTGTCTATAAGTACATAAGTTTCTTATGAAAACTTTTGAAAGTTCTCTTGCAATGTTATATTGTATCAGTTATCATCTGGTTTGTCTTGAATTATATTTTCTGGCTGCAGACAAGAAGCTGCACCTGATGAGGCTTGTATGGTGTCGGCCTTCGGTATGCTTCAGTCTCTGTGTTTCCTTGCATGTTCTGTTACATTTCCCGATTGTTCTCCCTGTTTGTTACACACGCACATCTAATATCCGTATGTTACACAGGGAACTTGAAACATAACACATTATTTAATTTACAGTGTAGTTCAAATTAGAAACACAAAATAATATCCATCAGTTTATTTCCCTGTGTAATGTCACATTCAACTATTTTTTTGTCTGCTTTGTTGTAATTGGAAAAAGGACCATTCTCGGACTCCAACATTTTTTATGGTAGTAATAAATAAAAGCAGCCTCAACACTCCCATTTTTCTAATTGTCAAGTATGGCATGTTCTATACTTTAAGCTTGATCATTGTACCTAAAGGTCAAACACTCTTTTCTTAAGGTTCCCCTCTTTCCATATTCCAATCATGTTCTTGTTTTGATTCCTTAAAGGCCCTATATTTCTTAAGGAATTGGAGACCAAAACTGGACTTTACTAAGATTTTTTTTTTTTTTTTTTTTTTTTTTTTTTAATTCCAGAAGATACGTGTTGAAGAGTAAATTTTGTGAATCTAAGATGAATTCAGCTTTTCTTAATCAACAGGTTTCAGTTAAAATGAAAGACCTAAACAAATTCCATCCATCATGACATAACAGTTCTTACATAAACACAAAATTGTGTAGAATGTTATACTATATCCCATTCGTTCTTATACTTCTGAGTTTTCTCCACACATCCAACCTTCCTGTGATACTTCCGTACACAGTAAATGACATGTTATAGCAGTTAAAAGAACGTGGACGAATAGTGGGAGAGAAAGCTCGAGAACTAAAATAATATACAATGTGAAAAAAGCTACATGCTATTTTACCTGTGAATAAGGCAAGCGCCAACACTTAAGATTATGTTCCTCTGAGCGTTGTTGTATATATACATATTTCTGTATATATGTTTCTGCCGAACTGAAAATTTACTCCTCTTCTCTCTCTCTTTTTCTGTTTTCCACTTTCATTCCTTAAATTAAGATGGCGGCAGGAGCGGTTGGGAGCCATCTTGGCGTGCTTGTGTGGAAAGGGTTCACGGTCTTAAATCCAATGTAAAAAATACTGAAACACCCGTATCAATACAATCAGGTGCCTATCGTGCTTTTAAGGATTTGTCTTTACTATTTAATATTGAAGTTACTAATGATGGATTGCCATTGGAAGATGCAGGTGTAAAAGCTCAAGATCAAACTAACAGGCAAAGTATTCTTCAACTTGAAGCTTTTACTCCAATATCTGGTCGAGCAAGTAAAAGGCCTATTCTTTCTCCTGTTGTTAACCAGATGATCTCTCTATCGACGCCCTTGTGGAATATATCTACCCCATCTGCAGAAGCTTTGGTGCCAGGCAGCACCACTAGAAGTGTTGTTATTGATTATCAGACTGTTGCTCCCTTGAGCCCTTATCAGTCTCCACCTGTACAGAACTATGTGTCACATACTACTCGGTTATCACCGGCTCCTTTCCCAGTACCCTGGCTTTCCCCTTCTCAAACCACTCCTTATGATGTCAGTACTACTTCTCCTGCATTTCCTGGCATGACAGAACCTGTAAAGTCAACTCAAAAGAAAGAATCAATCCCAGTTGTTGCTGCTTTCTCAAATAATGCCTCTGCAATTCCTACAAGTAATGTCGTTGTCTCTACTACTCACGGTGAGGATTCTTTGGTTGACTTGAAAATGTTGAATTCATCAGCTGGACAAGCTGCTGGTACAAAGACAAGAAAGAGGAAAAAGTCTTCAGATGCTGAGGATGTTTTACGGAAATCCATGACCGGTTCTCGGGTAGACACCGTCTCTGCTCCTTTGGTAGCTAGTCAGATTGAGGCTCTTAGTCCGTTCCCTTCCACTGCACGAAATCAGGGAGACCAGATTCGTACACCTGTTATCAGTAGTCATTATTCTACATCAGTTGCTGTGGCAACCCCTTCTAACTTTGTGCAAAAAGGCTCTCCCAACCAGTTTTTTCCTGTGGTGGCACCATCATTTACTAGTGATCAATCCAAGGGAGGTGATCTGAGTATAGATAAGAGGGCACAGAATATCGAGGATTTCAGCAAAGTTGAGGAAGCAAAGTTACAAGCAGAGGAGGCTGCGAACCAAGCTGCTGCTGCAATTAGCCAATGTGAAGGCGTATGGAAGCAGTTGGGCGAGCAAAAACAAGCTGGTTTGACATCAGATGCTCAGTGTAAATTAGCCTCTGCTGCTGTTGCTATAGCAGCTGCTGCTTCTGTTGCTAAGGCAGCAGCTGCGGCTGCTAAGATTGCATCAACTGCTGCATTTCAAGCAAAACAAATGGCCGAAGAAGCAGTGATCAAGTCTGGATCTCTGAATTCTACTGAGCATGATGCAAATTTAGTTTCCGATTCCATTAATTTGGTGAATGCGTCTCCCAAGTCCATTTTGAGGGTCGGGGATCGGAATAATGAACCCGGCTTAGTGATATCTGCTGCAAGAGAAGCTGCTAAGAAAAGGATCGAGGCTGCTTCTGCTGCCACAAGGTATGCGGGAAATCTTGATGCCATTGTTAAAGCATCAGAATTGGCTGCAGAAGCAGTTTCACACGCTGGGAAGATTGTCTCCCTGGGTGAACCATTCTCACTGAGCGAGCTAGCAGAAGCCGGGCCGAATAGCTATTGGAAGGTATCCCAGGAGGGTACTGTACCTGGTTTGAAGTCCAATGACAAGAAGAAAAATAAATCTACCTCTAGCAATGCTGGAGAGGAGCCTGAAGATTATATAAACCGACATCAGGAACCTGATAAGGATATGCATGTTGCGAGTGATGTTGAGCAACCCATTCAGGAGTTATCTGGAAATGAGGTTGATGATCATGTCTTTGTAGAAGAGAATATTATTGTCTCTGGAAAACATGGGGAGAACTTTAAACCTCAAAAGGATAAGAAAGTATCCAACTCGGCTAATACTGTTGGTATTTCTATCTCCGATATTGAATCAAGATCAACGACGCATGCCTTATCAAGCATTAAAGAGGGTTGCTGTGTTGAGGTTTGTGAGTTTTATTGTTGGGTCTTATTTAATTAACTTTTTCATGTACTCTGCCTTTTGTGTCAAACCAATAAATTTAATTGTTATGCTTAATTTCTTTCATTTCATTCTGAAGAAATTTCTAGTACTTGACATTGCAGGTTCTAAAAGATTGTGGTGATTCTAAGGCGGCCTGGTTCTCAGCATGTGTACTTAGTTTGATGGACAGTGAAGCCCGTGTTTTGTACACCAAACTTAAATCTGCTGAAGGTCAGTTAATGAGTATGTTTAGTAGGGATTTTAGTAACTCTGTTCTCCAGGCAATATAAGTCATGCAGTTTCTTGCTTATTTTGCTGCTTAATCATTCATTGATTGTGTGGTACAAGTTAACAAGGTCGTGTTATCGTTTGCAAATGCCTTTAAGATACTTTGATTGGTTTTTTTATTTTTTATTTTTTTTATTTTTTAAATTGAGAATTGGTTTCCATATAAGAGTAGATGGAAGTCTCCTTTGGATGGAAAACAAAAAAGGAAAAAACTGGGGATTAGTCACCAATCATGATAATCATATGATCATATCACACGATTATGGCTGTAATGTTTTCTTCTTCCTCTTTTTTTTTTTTTTGTTCTNTTTTTTTTCTCTTGCGTAACAACCATAGAGGAAATAATTTACTTTTGGACCTTTGATAGAAAGAAAAGGTTGCACATAGAACACCTATTATCTTGTGCATGTGTGCGTTCCTTCCACTTCACATCACAGCTGCTCGTGTTTTTAGGGTCTGAGCAGCTGCAGGAGTGGGTATCAATAGAAGCCAAAGACGGCCAGGCTCCAAAAGTACGCATACCCCATGATATGACTGCGTTACAGGTTGATGGAACAAGGAAGAGACGTCGAGCTGCTGCCAAGGATTACAGTTGGTCTGTTGGAGACAAAGTTGATGCATTGATTGAAAATTGGTAAGCAGATTGTTTATATGATAATCAGGTTAAGATATGCTAGTATTTTCTAGCTGATACTTGACAGTTAAGTTTGGTGGTTACGATTGGGCATTTATTCACTACCTACTGGCAAATTCTGCACAGAAGTCATTGAAGACTAGTTTCATTTATTTTCATGTTGCATTCAATGTACTCTCTATTAGCAGGAATTTCGGTGCATTACATGGTTAGTAGTGATGGGGATTCCACATTAGCGTGAACCTATCAGTATTTGTTCTTTGATGGGAGGGGTTGGAGGCTTAATAGCATTTGGATCTATTAAACTGATTGGGCAGTGCCCAAGTGAATGGGAGCAGAATGACAGCTTCATTATTTGAACAAATGTAGGCGAGGTTCCGTGACTGAATATTGAGATAATAAGAAGCCCACGAGGAAGCCAAAACTTTTGAACTAAGCAAGTATTACAAGAATGATTTATGATAAATGTTTGGTTTTGTGGAAGAGTTCTATGGAAAATGACATAAATTGAGTGATTATGCATAGAAAATAGTGATTAAAACCATATGCCAACTCTATGTGGCCTTTATCTCATTCCTTGTTCCTCATATTTGGTGTTTTATTTTTTCTACTCCTGTCTCCATCTTGCTTTAGCTGGCGTGAAGGAGTTATTGCTGAAAAGAGCACAAAAGAAGCAACTGTGGTGACTGTACATTTTCCCGGTATTTCTAGTTAAATATGTGACAAATTGTTTGTATTCAGTTCTGTTTTCATGTGTAATTTTGATTTTAAGCGCCATTATGGTGTTTGTCAGAGCAAGGGGAGTCGTCGAGGGTCAAGGTTTGGCATCTTCGGCCAACATTAATATGGAGTGATGGCCAGTGGATCGAATGGCAAAGACCAGGGCAGGATCCCGCTTCCCAGGTTACATCTTTCACCCATAATTCTTTATTTGGTGCAATAATTTGTTTGTTTTAACCTCATTCTGAGTCATACTTCTCCTTTATAGAGAGATTCACCGGCAGAAAAGCGACCAAAGCTGGTAGGCAGCAGTACCGAGGCAAAAGGAAAGACCAAAGTGGCTGAAAGCATCGGTTTTGCAGAAGTCCAGAGAAACGAAATACCAAAACTCCCTTTGTCTGCAAATGAGAAATTTTTTAGTATCGGCAGTACTAAATCAGAGGAAAATAAGCCCAACATGGTCAGGACTAAGAGACCTGATGTAGAAAAGCAACAAGGATCAAGGGTTGTATTTGGTGTCCCTAAACCTGGCAAGAAGAGAAAGTTCATGGAAGTAAGCAAGCACTACACTTCTGAACGGGTCTCCAAAAATGTGGTGCCTGATGACTCGGTGAAATTATCCCAATTTTTGGGACCTCTGGGTTCTGGGTCTAGGGGCTACAAGCATAATTCGAAGCATGATTTTAAGGACAAAATTGTTGCTGAGTCTAGACTGAGATCTATCAGGTCTGGGAGACCGCCAAGTGTCCCTAGTAGAACTTTCGTGCGGAAAGATGACTCAAACTCTTCACGACCTAATGCCCGAAATTCTGGTAGATCAGATAATGGAAAGGATTCCCTCAGCAGTAATGATAATGAATCGGTGGAGCAAAACACCGGTGAACTTGGATCGTCCTCTAAAGATGGAGGGACCTCTAAAAGCTCTATGGTGTTTTCTTCTAAAGCTCGTACACAAGATAATCGTAAGAAAACAGCAAGAAGGAATCCTATATCTGAGCGGCTCAACCAAAGGAGGCCTGCAGCTGTTAGCGGGAGATCTGATAACAACGAAAACGTAAATTCAATCCCTGAAGTATCTGAACCCCGCCGATCAAATCGTCGAATTCAGCCAACTTCAAGGGTAAGTTGATCCTTTTCGCTCATTCTAATCTGCTTCTTTCGGCTGTGCCCTTTTTATTAAAATGTTTTGCTCACCTGAAACTTGAAAATAGCTGGAAACAGTTAGTATTTCCGTTTTTTAGAAAATTTCCTTGAGTGTGGTTTATGGTATATTTATGCGTGGGATTATTTTTGTCGTCAGAAGTAATAACCAGGCTTTCGAAAATCTTCCAGCGTGTGTGCCTGGGCACTGCACAGATTATTAATTTTTAAACTACTTGTATAAAATTGATATCTTGAAAGGAGAGGGGCATGGTGGGTTTTGCACAATGAAACATATTGACACAAATATAATTGTGCAGAATTCAGTAAATAATAAATTTCGTACTATTTGGAATATCCGACATAAATTTAGATATCAGAAAAGTAGAACATTAATCCCTTGAAAATAATGAACACCTTGTGCTGATTACAACCAAGTCAGATTTAGATCCCCAGTGAGTGTTATATTTGAATTTTCATTGTTATTTTTTAAAACAAGATGTAAATTTATCAATTAAAGAAAATATTTAATCCGTAATGAAATAAAATTCGAACTAGTTGACGTCCAGAAACGTACATTTGGAAAAACTAAAATTGACCAGATGTATAATATTTATTAAGATTCCTGTTTCTATTCAATAGATTTATAATTGTTTTTAACAGTCAACTATAGTTACTTTGCTTTAGCTAGTAGCATAATTTAGGTTTACATTTTACCACTAAAAAGGTATCAAATTACAATAAAACCATAAGGGTCCAATCAAAATATGAATTTAGAAAATCCAATTCATCAAAACATTTTAAAAGTATAACTTAAACTTATTAACTGCATTTAGGTAAGTTATGTGAATGCGTGATTGCTATTAATGGAGTAATCTGAAAGTTCCAATTTGGCAAAAAAACAATTATATACATTCTTATTGTAAATATCATGAATTTCCAAATAATGAGTATCATATATTCATATTGACTGACTGAGCCAGTTACCATATTGGATTTTAAGTTAATTGTAAATAAATATTTACATTTTATCATTAGATAGATGTTACTAGTCTAAGATGAAAATAAGTTCTATGTTTGGTATCCAATGAAGTTAAATTGTGCAAGTAAGAGTGCTGCCTGTTGTTATTTTCTATGACTAGCTGTTTTAGAATCCATTATGAAACATGTGTTGTGTTCGACGGGTGTAGAGTTTCTCCTAAATGATGTTCTGCATAAGACAAGTTGTAGTCCTAAACACAAAGCAGTATTAATGTGTGAAATGGTCCAAGTGATTAGTTGATGTCTGATTTGGTATCTACTGGACAATAATCATGGATCATGGTCTACATTGCTAGGTGGATATGATGATACATCACATCATATAAAGATAAATATGGATTACCCTATATAAGACAAGTAGATAAAAGTCGATATACATGTGTCAATTAAAAATACGAAGTTCATTACATAACGAAGAATGCATAAACATATAGGTACATTATATATAAGATACAACTAAATATATGAATTAAAATTTTAGTGTCTTACATATAATTTATGGTAAATATAAATATACCTATTATGTCTGTCTAGATACATATGAGTTTGTGCCATCTCTCATTGCCTTTTTTGGTGCCTCTGTTATTTCTATCCAGCTACTGGAAGGGCTACAAAGTTCACTGCTAATCTCAAAAATCCCTTCGTTTTCTCATGACAAAAGCCACAAGAGTCAGAACAAAGGCGCAGTCAAGAGGTAGTAAAGGAGTCTTTTCTCCTCATACTTTATGAATAATGCATAATGTTCTCCCTTCCTGGAAAAGGATCTTAAAACTCGACACCCTTGTTTTTTCGATAGGTAATAACAATCGTGGTTGAAGCAGCCGGGCAGGAAACTCGTTTCCAATGTGTAGACTAATGTGTTATAAAGAGGATATTCAAATGCTTGTGTTTGTTATGTGTGAGATGTAAAACTTAGGGCTGTAGATGTCAATATCTGTGTAGTTGACATAATACAGATGTAGATTGTCGGACTCTGTTCACCATGAATAGACGTTGGGCTGTATTGGAGCTCGTGTTCAATTGCATATTTCATATGCAGGGTGTTTGCTAATTATTCGCCTATTGTCTTCCGGTTTATCTTCTAAATTCCCCTTTTATGCTTGTTTCTCTTCTCCTTTAGGAGAAACCTTGTTTAATGGTTTTGTCTGTTTTAAGTTTCTTGAGATTTGAAGTCAGTTGAGCAAGCTGACTGTAAGGGTGTATGAATTTGATCTTGCACGATTCCTCTGGAATCATAACAAGACATGAGCTTACATATCCTAAACTTCTAATATGCTCAATTTCTTTACTTAAAACGAGATTAGAATAATTTTATGAAATTGTATAATATTAAAACCTAATCCATTGTTTTGCATCGTCTTTTGTCATGAATGGGTTGAATACACTACGCCTTGGACGGTCCTCTTTCTTGAGTCTCCAATGACCTGCAATATGCCGAGAGCAGATCCTGTCCAAAAATGCTCAAGTCAGAACTTGTTCAAACCATATATTTGAGAATACATGAATAGAGGCGTAGATTGTGTGTGCTGTTGATATTAGAACATGTCGTTCTTATATTGGACTTAATAGCTTAAGGCCGAAATTATTTCTTGTTAGGAAAAAGATCCAATCGGGTTATACTTCTCTAACTTACCACTTCTCTATCTTGGTAATAGTCCCTGAGAGAGCGATTATTTTCTTCTCACTTGGCTTCTTCCCCATTTTATTGTTTTGGCCAATGAATCCTTCGTAAATCTAACCTCTTGACATGTCTGTCGTTATCTCTTCGAAGACGTAACCTGAGGTCTAAACCGACCTCATCTTTGGGAATATCATCAGCTGACCTCAATATCTCAAGGTCAGTTACTTTGTCGGCTCATGGAGGCCGGTACCTCTAGGCCATGTCTGTTTTGTTAGGTCGGCACCTTAAGCCCATCTTTGAGCTACTTGGCCAAGCATTTCATGTCTGTCTCGGGAGTCCTTCTAGCCCGGCCTTACCTGAACTATTCTCTCGGGCCAGTGCGCCGAGCTACTTCTTCTAAGTGCTACATCAAATTCATACATCTCAATATAGAATGCTCAACACCAATAATTTTTTTCCCTCAATTTCTTGTTATTTAAATATAATTAATCTAGCAATAATAATAAAAAAAAAAAAGAAGAAGATGATGTTAGATGTGTATATAAAGACCTAAGTCCTAAACGAAATTGAAAACATTTAGTAAAATAAACTATAAAAATAATAAAATAAATTAATAAGACTAAAATGAGTTGCAACGATGGAATTTGGACCGTGCCACTATGTTTGGTAAAACTAGCTGATAAGCTAGCTTATAGCTTATCAGTAATTTTTTAGCTTATATCTTATAGCTTATGACTTATAGCTTATATCATAAAAGTGTAAAATTAGCTGATAAGCTAGATGAAATAGAAAATTCAACTAGATTATTTGAAAAGCTACCTAAGGAAGGTTATCAAATAAGCTCGTCATACCAAACGAGACTTATTTGAACACATGGAGCTTATAAGATAACCAAATAAGCTATAAGCTAGTTTATTTGTCTACTAAAATAGCTTTACTATATCAAGTTAGGCGCAATGATTTCATTCAAAAAGCATTAATCCACTTTTAGAAATACACTATAATGGCGGTTTCGAGCTCATCCGTCATACGCAAAAATTATGTCGTCTTGAGTGGTGTAGAGGAACACCCTTCAAACAATCCTCAACATACCAAGACAATGTTTGGTAAAACTAGCTGATAAGTTAGCTGATAGCTGATAAGCTAGCTTATAGCTATATGTAATTTTCTAACTTATAGCTTATAGCTTATGACTTATAGCAGAAAAGCTAGCTTATATGATAAAAGTGTTTGGTAAAATTATCTGATAAGCTAGCTGGAATAAAAAATTCAACTAGGTTAATTAAAAAGCTACCTAAACAAGCTTATCAAATAAGCTCGAGCTTTTTAAATAAGCTTGTCCTACCAAACGGGGCTTATTTGAATACAAGAAGCTTATAAGCTAACCAAATAAGCTATAAGCTAGCTTATTTGGTTTACCAAACATAGCCCAAAAGTCAACTTCCTCACGTCCACTTCATATGTTTTTATGTATTACCAATTATTCTCATTCTTTTGTTCCTCTAAGCTTGTTCTGTTCGAGGAAATTCTATTGTAGGGCTTGAATTTTTGTTATTGTGTGACAATAAGGTCTGAATTTTCAATTTAAGAATCCAAATCAATTTGTATGTTGATATAATGATGTAAACCACAATACTTTTTTTAAAAAAATATAATTAGAAATATTTTAGTAAAATTACTTCAATAAGGAAATTAATTCAAATAAGAAATTTTTTAGTAAAAATATATTAATAAGAAATTAATTTATTTAAACTGATTCTATAAATATAACTAATTTGGATTAATTTTCTCACGAAACTATTTATAAATATTTTTAATACAATTGTTATAGGCATTAATGTTATATATTCCTAACTTTTTAAAAAATATAACTTTTATTCACAAATAGTATTTCTATAACTTTATTTAGATAAAAAAAATAAAATTATCACTGTAATAGTTTATATTTGTATGTTATCACGTAATTTGATTGAAATTAAGTTAAAATTTATTTTTTTAAGTTTTAAAATAAATTTCATTAAACGTTTGCATAGATGTAAATTATGAAATAAATATCTCATTATGTAATGTTTTAAAGATATGAAAAAAGAAAAAAAAAAGAAAAGTTAACTAAAGATATTTAATATTTTTTATTATAAGTACTTGAACAATAATTTTTTTTATAAAAAATACAAAGTGATTTAGAGTTAAATTTAAAAGTATATATATTGAAAATAACTTAAAATCGAAACTCTCAAATGAAAAGGCTTAAAATTCAGCCCTTTTTGTTAAACAATAACAAAAAGTTAAGTTTTACAATGAAATTTTCTCCGTTCTTGATGTGCGGACGAATTAAGTCGAGCTCGAGCTCCTAAATCCTAATACTCAAACTTCAATTCGAGGCTCTATAGAACCGAGTCAAACACGACTCGTTAATTATAGTCAACAAGCAAGTTGGAAGTTTGAACCTTATGAAGTAGAAATATAAGAGCTTACATAAAAATTACTCCCTCCTTTTTTATTAAGTGTCATTTTGAAAAATTGCACAGTAATTAAGAATTTTTTTCTAATAATAACCTTCATTAATGATGATAGAGATGAATATTTTGTGAAAAGATGAATAGTGAATGTGAAAAGACGTAGTTTATTTATTAGCTAGATGAGAGTAATAACGTCATTTATTTAGTTAATGGTTAATAACAGTGTTTTGTGACCCAGACCGGCCCGGCGGGTCGACTTGGGACCCGGTCGACCCGGAGCTGGAACCGGTTTGGGTGGGCTAATTGGACCGGGCAACAACGGACCCGGTCAAACTCGGTCAAAACCCGGTCGACCCGGCCTTGACCCGGTCGACCTGGGGCATTGACCCGGCTGGGTCAACCCGGTTGACCCAGTCCCTATATGTATTTTTTTATTTTATTTTTTTGTTTTTTAATTTTCTTTTTCTTTTTAAAACATAAAATTATGTATATATAATTATATGGTAAATATATACATATTATTACCAATTTAATCTACAAATTTTACATACAAAACATTTAAATTTGTTATTTTTATGTATATTTATATATCACAAAATACTCTATATATAATTCTATAAATTTTAAAATTAATTATCTGGTTCAGCAATTGACCTGGTGACCCGACGGTTGAACCGCTGACCCGAAGACCTGCCCGGGTCGATTACCGGGTCGGGTTTAAAAACTATGGTTAATAAAGCAAAAATGACATTTTTTTTTTTTTAAAAAAAGGTGGAATTAATTTTTAAATTTTAATGAGTGTGAGCTAAAATGCACGTACACATAATTTAGTTGTTTATTTTATTTTAATGCAGGTTGGGATTTTAATTTTTCTCTTTTATTGGGAATCTAGGGTTTGGTATGTGGTGTTGAACTTCAATAGCCCTTGCTTTGGAAATCAGAAGAGGGAAAACACAGGGGAGCGGGCTATGGCGGCGAATGGGCAGGGGATAGAGCCTGCCTTGTTGGATGACATCATCAATCGCCTTTTGGAGTTCCGCAATGCGCGGACCGTGCGCCAGGTGCAGCTGTCGGAGAACGAGATCCGCGCTCTCTGTACGACGTCGCGTGAAATCTTCCTCTCACAGCCTAATCTTCTCGAGCTCGAAGCCCCTATCAAGATCTGCGGTAATTGTTACTGTTGATACATTTGTTCACTTTGCGACGAGTTGCTTGATGTTTTGAGCTTTTGACGGCATTTCGTGATTTTATCCTGGAAGTTAAAATTCATAGGCAGCTATGTTCTGTCTTGATTTTTTTATGTTTGAATATGAATGAAACTATGGGTTTGGTAAAATTCATGGGCAGCTATGTTCTGTCTTGAGTATTTTATGTTTGAATAGGTCGTAATGCTGGCAGTTGGTAATTGTTGGGTTATGGTTTTCTTTTTGTTTCTGCTTGAACATATGATGGCTGGGTGGTTTTTGTTTATAGTTTAGGTGTATGAGCTTGGGGGTTGAAGATGATTTCTTTTAATTTGCCAACAGGGTTTTTGATAGTAAGAGGTATGCTGCATTCTATTTTTATTGAGATTTGCAAATTTTGAAGTGGAAACGGGACTGTGCTTAACGATTTCTCTTCCTCTTTTTTCAAATCTGTTTTGCTATTTCCTCCGCCTTTTCTTGCTCTCCAACACAAGGAGAATTTATGGATATTAGACAATGTGCATATTCTCGATTGTTTTGCAGATTTCACTACTTCTAAGTGGATACTAAGATTTTCTCTTGAAATCATATAGTGAATGTGATAAGAGGATGCTTATGGACTTTTGTATCTTGTTGGTTTTTAAAATGGTTTCTAATTTGCTTTATGTCTCCATCTGTTAGTACACTATGAGTTTGTAGGTTAATCCTCAATATCCGTTTTGACTTGTTTGCAGTATATTTTTTTGGACATGCTATCGGTACACTACAATACCTTTTTTTTCTTTTTTTTTTTCTTTTAAAAGAATGATTTTGGATTTTTTGGTCTATTTCCAAATTTTGTTTTCTGTTTGTTTGGGATAACTTGTTGTCGGGAGTACTCGGCCATTGGTGCTTTTGAGCAAATGCGTTAAATATCGCAAATGTGTCTTATTCAGTTTTTGGTTCTATATGTGACTCATACCACTTTTAATGCATTAAATTAGTTGCTTTGAAAATACTTGATATTGATATATACAATGTAGATTATTGCAATACTTTTAGTTCTTTCCGACAACGAAATGTGTGTTTCTAGTTGATCTTTATGTTGGTGTATTTCGATGCTTTTTATATACAAGTGCTTTAAAGCTATTATGTGTGTGGATTCCTTTTATTGGCTAGCACCTTATTTCTTGTTTGTTCTTGATAATTTCCTTAACTATTTTGCTGAGGTGAGGTATGTGCTATACTTCATTTTCCAATTGTGATAATCGCTCTGTTATAAAATAGAAACCTTCTCTCCGTCAAAGACGTTTTGCTTGCTTCTTGTTGAGTTAAAGAGTGAAAGCTCTCTCTCTGTCTCTCTCTTTCTCTGTCCCTCCTTCTCTCTCTTTCTCTCTCCCCCCCCTTCTCTCTCTCTCTCTCTCTCTCTCTCTCTCTCTCTCTCTCTCTCTCTCTCTCTCTCTCTCTCTCTTTTACTCTCTGTCCCTCTCTCATCAACTCCTTTTAGTCCTTTTATTTTCTGTATCTTAATGCTCTTCAGAAGATTAACAGTGAGCTATTTTTTTTATTTGTTTCCTTGGCTCTTACTAGGCGACATTCATGGGCAATATGGAGATCTATTAAGGCTATTTGAGTATGGGGGATTTCCTCCAGAAGCCAATTATCTGTTCTTAGGGGATTATGTGGACCGTGGAAAACAGAGTTTGGAGACGATATGCCTTCTTCTTGCCTACAAAATCAAATATCCTGAGAATTTCTTTCTCCTAAGAGGGAATCATGAATGTGCTTCAATCAATAGGATATATGGATTCTATGATGAATGTAAACGCCGATTCAATGTTAGGATCTGGAAAATTTTTACTGATTGTTTTAACTGTCTTCCTGTGGCCGCTCTTATAGATGATAAGATTCTATGCATGCATGGTGGTCTCTCTCCAGACTTGTCACACTTGGACCAAATAAGAAACTTACCTCGTCCAACTGATGTTCCGGACTCTGGTCTTCTCTGTGATTTACTTTGGTCTGATCCCAATAGAGAAATTAAAGGTTGGGGAATGAATGATAGAGGTGTCTCTTACACATTTGGCCCGGATAAGGTGGCTGAGTTTTTAATGCAGCATGATATGGACCTTGTTTGTCGTGCTCACCAGGTATTTGGTTTCCTCCTTGTTTTGCACCCTTTTTCCTGCTATTTCTAGAGTTTTACTGAATACATTCTTGAGCAGGTAGTAGAAGATGGATATGAATTTTTCGCTGACAGGCAGCTTGTTACAATTTTTTCTGCTCCCAACTATTGTGGTGAATTTGATAATGCTGGTGCAATGATGAGTGTCGATGAGAGTTTGATGTGCTCGTTCCAGATCTTGAAACCAACTGATAGAAAGCGGTTCTTGTGAGGCAAGATTGACTACATAGGTCTCAGTTAACTGTAATTCATGGGTGAGTATTTTTTTTTTCTTTTTTTTTTTTCTGTTCTTGTGTGCGTGTCCAGTCTGAAGCTTTTGACATTTTATGCAGTATGTATTCTTAGAATGAGAACAGGCACTATTGTTTCACCATTGCTCTCTTCGTGATTGGTATCCTGTTAGGAAATTGCTGTGTTACTCATTGTTTTTAAACTGGAATCCTAAATTTTTGTTCACTACCCTATACACAAGCACACTAGTAGAAGCATTCCATAGAAAGATAAAAAATAGCAAGTCAGTTTCCATAATGTTAGCTAAAATGAGAGATATAGATATCTTGCAATTAATCTTTGGCTCTTTGAGGGAAAGCTCTAAATTCTAATAATATGATCAACCTTAAAATTGAAGTGAAGTCAGTTTTTTTTTTTGGATCCTCCATCTTTATTGAATTCCCTAATGATTTAATCTCAAATCTTTCAGCACTTGTTTATACCTATTTGATTTTGCTGCCTACCAGACCTCAAGCTTAAAATCAAACTAGAAGGCAATCTCCGACTAAGATTTACTGCAAGGGAAAGAATAGAGGAAATACCTCAATTTAAGTGATAAGGATTACACTAGTCAAGTATCTGACTCTTGAAGTTGATACGTTGCTCGATTTCACTCTTATTAATAAGCCATTTTACTGAAGGGCTTTCTAGTACAAGGTGTTCACAGTGACTAATTGGTTTGGTAAACAATGCGTTTAATAACTGTATTGTGGAAGTGCAAGAAAAAGAGTCCAAACTATTACAGACGCTTCTGGATGATGTTATTCTAGTGATGTAGCTTTACTCACAAGTCCATTATAAAATTTGGTGGAGGACACTTCTCTTCAACTTCCATAATCCATACCAAGTCTTGCTCTTGCCTGTATCACAGGCTCTCACTATGCTGATTTACCTTGCAGGCTTCTGAAGTAGAGGAAATTAACCCAGATAATTCTTTAGTTCTGTTTGTACACAGTTTTTTCTTATTTTCTTATTTTCTTATTAACCCAGGAAATTAAATGCATACTGTGCTGTCATTTGTACTTCTTTAGTTCTGGTTGATATAACGAGTCATGTATATCATTCTTATTGAGGTGTGAGATGAAGCTTGAGTGGGGGGTTCCTGAGTTTAGGACCAAAAATGGCACATAATTATCACAAAACACACGTTATCATAGGCTGGACAATTTATGTGTATATATGTACACACACATTACTTTTGCAGTCTTTTTGGTTGGTTTTGTTCAGTATATGTGGCTGAGTTGTGAATTGTGTGCCCTTAACATGTTGCTATTTGTCCCTCCTAATTTTTGTTGTTAATCTTCAGATGTCATTTGGAGTGGCCTCAAAAGAGAGGTTAACATCTTACTACGGTGCTATTGGATTTGAAGGACTGAGGACATATTTTGTTTAGTGTAATGTCTTTTAGACTTAGAAGTTCCAAAAGACTGTAATTTGGAAGGAATGGTGCTCGGTTTTCTTGAGTGTTCTGTATTATTTTCCTTTTTCTTTTTCTCTTTCATTTTTCCAAGAGACAACTTTATGATTCTGACTGTGTATATACACTCAAGTCCTATATGTTGCAATTGCAACAATTGTAGGTTGTTGAATTTCGCAGCATGGCTTACCTTCGATATTCATTATATTAACCGTTCATCAAATGTCGAACAAATTTGACTGGAGTTTGCAACTTTGCATTTCAAATGTTTAGATTGTGTTTTAATATGCGAAGCTTGGAACTCCATCACATTTGTTTGAACATAAATGTTTTTAAAATTTTCAAAGATTGTTGATAGATAAATTCTCGACCGATCAACATAGATGATTTTCAATATAACTGAAGCATCGAACATAGATTTTTTCGGAAATTTGGAGAGCATTTTTTCTCTAAATTTTAGGTGTTCTCTAAGACATAATCTATATATATATATATATATATATATATATATAAAGAGTCATCCTATTTACTAAAATTAGTATCAAGAAAAGTCAAAGGACAATTAATGCATTCTATTTTTGCAATGTTTTTCAATTTTTTTTTTTTTTTACTTATAAAAAATCTGGCACATTTAATGCTACCATAAATTATGGGATTTGTTATATTTGAATTTTAAATATCAAAATACTACCTAAATAAATAGTAGAAGGAAACATTTCTATTTTATCTTAGTAAATGTGTTTTATTTTTTAATTATTTACATACTTTATATTAATTACATTAGTAAATAATATTAACGTACATTAAATATTTCTATTACATAAAATAAAAATAAGAAAAAGACTACTTCAATAACTTTTATAAATATTATAATAAAATAGTAACTAACTAAATATTATGTAGTTAACAAGACTAAGTAAAATTGTTATTTTTTCTTATATGAAAAATTAAATATATACACTATAATAAAATTTAAATTAGTATCAGTTAGCGCTAACTGGCTCAAACACTTCGGATAAAAAAACAACTTTTATTAAAAGAGGTGGAGAATAGATAATCCAACTGTACTTTTTTATTTCGTATAGATCGACCATATGTTAGTGATGCATTTAACATTTCTATCCAGTGCATCGCACGGGCTATGTACTAGTACTAATAAAAATACTACACATGATTTTTTAGTGAAAAACGTTACTTAATAATGGTGGCCATTGTTTGTGAGGTCAACGTTGCTGGTGAAAATGCGAGCAAACCCTTTAGGCGATCATGTTTAGCAATGTTAGGTAAATAGACTAACTATAAAAAGTGCTAATTCCAATTTTTTTCAACGGATAGGCGGTTGATTAGGCTTTTTTGCTTGCTCTGACAGACTTATGGTCCAACCACCATAACCCAACTACAAAGGAAAAATAAAGTAAAATAGCCTTGATAATAAGCTCTTATGAAAATTAATCATAGAGGCATATATTAGATATAGAAATAGACTCCTAAAACTAAATGACTTTTTTCAATACAAGGTCTGAACATATGTAAACTATCAAATCGGGGCTTAAAATTATTTTTTTCTCAGTTTGGGACCTAAATGTTATAAAACTATCAAATTAAGTCCTATAATTAACAAAATCCATAAAAACATTAAAGTGAGAGTTAATTTGACGTTTTAAAACACCAATATGTTACAAAGTAAAAAAAAATAAAAAGAAAAATAAAGAAAGTTAAGGAAAATACGAGATTGTTAGAG